CATATCTGTCCAAATGCCTCAGCTCTCTCCTGTTCACTGTCCAGTAAAGGCCGAGCAGGATCAGTCCAGCCCCGAGGCCTGCGAGGCTCAAGCTGAGCAGCACCTGTGTGTTCAGACAAAACTGCTGATGAGTAATACAATTATTTTGGTATTACCCATGAAACACTTTTTTAATCTGCTGGCTGCAGAAGAAAGATTGTTTACAATAAATTCATCATTAAGTAAAATGATCATTAGTGCGTCATCACTTCCTGATTCAAACCGTACTGTGTAAAGAAGAGCCGTCCTGTTGTCAGGCTGGTCTGACATGGTCTGGTTCTGCTGGTTTTTAGTGGAGTCCCACTGGGCCAGAGAGCTTTCATAGTCCAGATTGAGAACCCCAACAGGCATAACCCGGATCCCCCAGTAAACCCTCTTCACCCTGTGGAAGGTGGCATCCTGAACGTCACAGCGATAAGTACCTAAAAATTACATGACGATTGTATTTAAAACATTTTAAATCTACCTAATGTACAAAATTCAGAGTCTAGGTAGTAGAGGTTTGTTTGTTTACCTGCATCCTCCTCCCTGACAGGGTCCAGAACCACTCGGTCCAGCAGAGGAGCATCCCAGCGAGTAAACAGAGAGTCATCAGAGCTGATTATTCCTCGGGCATAACGCCACGCCACCCTGAGACAAAAAAGGAAACATCACATTGACCTCTATCGAAGAGCAGCCATAATTACGGGTTGTTCTACCTGAGGAGGAAATGAACTCCAAGACCCAAACAGTTTCTGGGGCTGGAAACATACACTGGCATACACTGGTACAGTACAGAAGTGACTTTAAAGTACTCCTGCTTGTTTACAAGGCCCCAAATTGTATGGCTCCTAAATATATTTATGACCTGCTCACTGGCCATAGCCCAACCAGATCATCAAGCATGAATGTATCTGGAATCAAAACTAAATCATGTGAAGGTGCATTTAGTCACTACATGGTGCTGTTCTCTGGAACAAACTGCCCGATGACCTGAGACTGGCTGTCCTCTTTTAAAAGCCTCTTTTTTCTCAAGCTATTAGTGGTTACTTTAGGCTGAACACACTTCTACAAACAGTAAACAGTAAACATTAAACTTTAAACTTTAGATTGTATTCTGCAGTGGGTATGAGACTCTATCCCGGCCAACATTAGAATTTCTGTTTCCATTGTTTGCAATCAAAAGGACTCCCTCCATTCCTCCATCCTTACCTCCAGGAGAACCTCCCCACCGCCTCCATGACTTCTTCCAGACAGTCGATCTCCACTCTCTGTCCTGAAGTCACAGTCATCGTCCTGAGTCCACACTGCCACGACTCCAGACACTTCACCTTACGGGCACGACACTTTCCAGACACCTTTGATTGATTGATTATAGTTCTTATTGGAGCTGTTTTGTTACATTTCTCAGTCATTTAGTGCTACATGTTCAAGAAGTCTTTATGGTACCTCTGCTCCAACTTTACTTCCCACGTCTTCTTCCATCGCCGCCTTGCCATCTTTCAGTAAACACAGGGTTTGAGTTTTCACACCCAGCCCGCAGGTTGCGCTGCAGGGGGAGCTGTCAACAATGACCTCCACCGGCACTTTATCCTCCTCGTCCTCCAGGTCAACTGAGGTTATAGGATGGAGGAGGAGGAGGAGGAGGTGAAGCCTGACAGTCACATGTTGCATTATGATGTTTGATTTAAATCTGTAGGAAATAAAAAGTTTTCTGCTTAATGCACAAAGTATCATAAATACTTTTGTATTCTAGGCAGCATGTTATATTAAAGATCTCCTCCAAACACATATTACAGCATACAAAAAATAATGTGTCTGATATGTCTCTCTTTATTTGTCTCTCTCTTTAAATCCACATCATGTGGCAGTATTTCTCTCCAATATTTAGAATGATGTACCTACAGTGAGATTAACCCTGGAAGACTGAGTGAAACAATCTTTTGTATGTGACATGTTCAAACAAGTAAGACAATGTCAGTAACTGCACTAAACCATACAACATACAGTAACTATGCAGGTAACAACTAATACATGTCCAGCTGAAGCTGCCGGGAAGTCAAAGTGCACTCACCTGTACAAACTTAAGAAGTAAACAATGATGTGATGATGAGTCCAAACTGTTGCATCTGCTGTGTCTGAAATATATTTTGAATTGAATGTTGTGTTGTGACAACCAGAGTTCCAGGCCACAGCAGGGTCCCTCCTTCACACTGTTAAAATACAAAGTGCTGGAAAAAGGTTAAACATTTGTTGATGATGTTTCAGAATTAATCTATGACATTAGATTCAACAATTTATAAACAAAAATGAATTAAATGACATACAATACAAATAAAATAAATTGTGTAAAAAAAAATTATAAATTATTCATAAACATTAAATGTATTGTTGAAGTCAATTTCAGGACACAAAATCTGATTTTAACCAAAAGAAGTTTCCATTTTGTGCATCCAACCTCTGATTGTCCAATAAAAAGGGACATCTGTTAAGTCAGTTTATATTTTTTCCAATGCAGTAATGTGGATGATGTTGCAGTTTGTATGATGGTCACTAGATGTCAGACAAATGCCAGAGAGAGAGAGCACAGAAACCCACAACATACAGCACTGTACTGTAAAGAGACTGCAGCCTTTAGTTCATTGATCATATTCTCAATTTAGCAATAAATCAATAAATTCCAATTTTAGCGTGTTAAATCATCTGCAGTTAAAGTGATCAAATAAACATACAGTGTAGAATATAGAGCAACAAGACACAAGAGGTAATAATGATGATTATAATGGTTAATTAGTAAAATATAAATAAATCTAATAGTAAACCGGAATAAAAGTTGGAACATTTTCAAAGTCATTTAAAAATTGTTCACAAGGAAAAGGTGATTGATTGAGTGATTTTGTGTTTATTCAAATAAACAACATTTGTTAGCATGAAAATAATCAGATTTTTAGACTTTATCTGATGACATGGTGGATATAAGCAGGTCTGCCGGTTTCTGTGTGAGCTGTAGAGCTAAGGCTGATATTTTGAACAGATACTAGCTTCTTATAAAGCAATGAAAGTGTATAATTAGTACTTAAGTTAAATAAAAATTAAGTTTTTGTAGCCTACACATCAATATCAGATGAATATGTGTCAGTGGGCTATAACAACAGCATCTGATCATTTATTAAAAACCTGCATCATTCTGTATTCATACTGTGTACAGTCACGTCAATTTTACTTATATATGGCCCGGTATCAGAACTCACAATTTTCCTTAATAATCTGTACAGCATATGACTCCTATAGGGAAAAACCGTTTAACCTTTTTCAATGTTATAATTATTTTCATCTGTATTTATTGATATTCTGAATTCATTATTCAATAAAACAGGTTATCATTAGAATGTCATTAAACTTGAAGAAATGATTTATTATCAAAATTATATATATATATATTTACATTAATTTCTTTTAAATTTGTTTCTTTGTGATTGAATGGAAATAACGATAGACAATTAAAATGTGTTTATTGCAGAAAGAAGTAATTTTTTTCATGAATGAATAAAGACAATTATGGTTATTTTGTTAATCAGACCACACACACATACAACACAGATCCACTATTTTCTAATCCGAGTCCAATTCATGTCCAGGCATGATCATCACATTTAAGTTTCCCTTAGTGTCGTATATGCTACTTCTTCTGTATTTGGTTGTGTTTTCTCTGCATCTTTCATAAATGCTGCACACGTGTTGTCAAATTGGTGAAGGCATTTTCTTTTACGTTGCAGTGCTTCTAGCTCTCCCGGCCACTGAAATAAACACTAGTTTTGTATATTGTGTAGTTATATTTATAGTTTGACTTTTTTATGGCAACTTCTTGGTTATGACTTGGATGTCAAGGACCCACTTTCTTGGTCCATGGCTCCCACTAATAGAAAGGCTCCAAACCTGCCTGGGGTTTCAGGTCCAAACAAAGATTATGGCACTGTTAGCTCTTCTTGACAAACCCAGCCCATTGTCAATGTGCTATTATGAACCCTACTTGGTTCTGCTACTGATAACTGGAAAAAGGACCAAGACACGAAAACACACAAAAGGAAAAACGCACACAAAGAGAGTCACAACGATGATTCAGCATCAGTGGAGGACTGCAAAATGTTCAGTAGCCAGTAATAGTGACCTAGTTGGCAGACCAGTAAAAAGCATTGTGGTCAACACCACATGTCTCAGTGTGTGAAAAAGAAGAGTGAGGGGGATGCTGAAGAGGAGGAGATGGAAGGCGATGAATAAGTGTGATGGAGGAGTGATGGGGGTGTGAAAGGAGGAGGAGTAGGAGTGGTAGGACAGCCCATCAGGAATTACATCCATATTGGACATCTCATCATTTATGCGTGTCATTTGAAGCAAGGTAATGTAATTCAATTTTATTTGTATACCGCCATATCATAACAGAAGAATCTCAGCACACTTTTTAAATAGAGCTCAGATGAAACCAATGTAACCAAGCAATGTGTTGTTTTTGAAATACTATCATCAAGTGAAGATTAAACACACTGACTTGGCATTTGCGGTGCAAGCAGTGGCCCTCTTGGGTAAGTTAGTGTTAAAAAAACACAGCAGTGAGATACATTTGTCTCAAAAATCCTCAAAAAGTGTGGATCAAGAATGGACAATTGGTGCAACCTAATGAAGTCTAAGTCTCCAGTTTTTCACATTCTGTGAGGCGCACCAAGGAAATTGTGTGTGATGAATGAAAAGTTAGAAAGACATCTGCCAGTCTACAGCTCCTTTCATGACTTGTTGGAGCCAATTTCAAGCCAGAAACTAGGGAGAAACTAATCTGCACGGATTCATCAACTGTTTTAGTTTCCTGTTTCATGAAGGTGTGGTTTATGACGCAGAACTATTTATGGCATTTGGCAACTTCCTTCTAGAAAGTAAAACTGATAAATTTGAATGTTGAGCTACACGGGGAGACAGCCAGCAGTGTCTAGAGTTATTCTTTAGCTATGGTTTTAGGGTTGTAGTTTTTTTTTTTTTTTGCAAAGTGTAGAGAAACACGGTTATCCTAACCATACTTATCTTATTCTTTTGAGTTTAGAAACCAGGAAGTTTACATTTTAAGTGGGTAGAGACTGAAAGGTAGTTAACATGTTTAGGGTCAGCAGATGCAAAAAAAGGCTCAGGTAAAGTCCAATCCAGGTGGGTTATGGTGGAGTATTTGTTTAAAACAGCTTTGCCTCATGAACTTCCTCACATAACTTTTGAACTTTGAGCCGTTGGCACGTGTTGCCGTCTGACAGAGGAGAGAGATGACCGAGCACCTGATGAAAATACTGATTGTTGGTGATGGAAATGTTGGGAAATCCTCCTTTGTGCATCGCTATGTGCACAGCCAGTTCAACAAGACCTACAAGATGACAGTAGGAGGTATGACTGCTGTAGTTTATCATTGTTCTGTGGTTTGGATTGTGTGTGTGTGTGTGTGTGTGTGTGTGTGTACTATTTCATTATCGCTAATCTTTATCCCTCCAGTTCTAGGGATTTTTTTACACTGTCGGATCATTGAAAGGTTTGCATTAACTCGGTATAAGTTGAAAAATGTGACTTTTCCGATCTTATCCAAAATACTTTGTCAAACAGGTGAGACTGTTCTAACATTCTTCCTGTTTTATTGCCAACAAATCTTCATGATAAAACTAAAACAAATAGTCCTCCTCCCAATACTTTATGACTGACCCTACCCTCTGACCCAAACATTTGCATGTTAACATTGTCAATGTGAGCATGATAGAGTGCAGACATTGAACTATGTACAGCCACACAGAGCCACTTGCATGGTTGTAAAAGGTTTATTATGTTCATAAAACAGCTGGACACGGTAGCTTTTAGCAAAGGGAGTAAATAGTGGATTGGTTGGGAACTATTTCCACCCAGAGATTACTAATATACACCTGGTGCTCTAGCGATTAGATGCTGTATGGGCAGTTCAATTCACTGATCCTATCATGTTCTGCTTTTCAATAAACTGTTCTGCAATTTTTGCTATGGTATGTTCTGCAACATGACCTGTTTCACCAAGGATAGTTTGAGTAAACTATGTAAAAATCAAACTTTCACTTCTGTTTTAGTTTTCTCACTTCTCACTTACTTAACAGCAATTCACTTCTTGTCTCTTTTCTGTCTCTAATATTCTGTAATTTTTAGTGGATTTTTCTGTGAAGCTGCTGCACTGGTCGGATAAAGAAAAAGTCAGACTACAACTGTGGGACATCGCAGGTACATAACATCTTCCAGGAGATATATATAAAGTGGATGGATATTTGGATGGATGACAATGTGAACTTTGTGTCCTCCATCCAGGCCAGGAGCGTTTCATTTCCATGACCAGGGTCTATTATAAAGGCGCGTTGGGCTGTGTCGTCATGTTTGATGTCACCAGTCCGTCCAGCTTCCATAGCTGTCGCCATTGGAAACAGGACTTAGACAACAAGACTATGCTGCCTAATGGACAATCCATCCCCTGCATCCTGCTGGCCAACAAGGTGAGTCAGTGTATTTACTGTAACTAATGAATAATTTATCAGGAAGCCCTTCTGGCTTAGTTTTAAATAAATGATCATTGTACTGTTACTTAATGGATTAACACTTTCAGCTTAAGCTTCCCAACATTTAGAGAAATCTTCAGTGAACTAAATGAATAAAGAACCAATCTTTTTAAATTATTACAACATTATAAATAAAAAGTAATTGTTGTGGTTTAAAAGGGCTGTATTTTTTTTTTTAAACCTTTTAAATTTAAAGACTTAAATTGTCTCTCTGCAGTGTGACCTAGCTCAGAGGGTTGTGTCAGCTGACAGCATTGACAGATTCAGTAAGGTCAACGGCTTCATTACATGGATGGAGACTTCAGTCAAAGAGAACAAGAACATCGGAGAGGCTATGAGGTAACTTTGAAAAGAAGAAAGATTAAAAAAACAGTTCAGATGATGCAGTATGGATAAAGAAGGTGATAGGCAGAACTCTACTGCCCAGTGTGGTTGTGTCCAGTGTATTACATCATTTTTTTACCTCCAGTTTTTCCAAAATTTCAGACCTCATCCTTTTTTATGTACAAATGAACCAGTCAATGTACGCCCACTAAAAGTGCTTTTTTGTGTCACTGACAGGCTCAGATCACCTGAGATTTATACTTAGCTTGCTTCCTATTTGCCTTTATTATAAATTTTAACAAATTGTTGTTTGGAAGACTATAGACCACTTTGTGCATAACTTTAAAGCTAATGGGGATCCAACTTAGAATAAAAATCTTTATTCTTTATTCTCAAGTGTCTGACATTGTGCAAAGGATCCCTACAGAGATAGACTTTTTGTTAGGTAGCCACCAGACTCCAGTCACAAAAAAAGTTAATTTAATTGATGCCATTGTAACGCTGACTTGTAGTAGACAGAAACAAAGTAAAAGTCACTTTGTTAGTCTTTCCATATTTTCCACTATCTTTTCCAGCAATCACTGGCTCTGGTTTGGTTGAAATAAATCCTCATTCACATGCACTAACATGTTATGTTTAAACAAAGCAGAGACCAGCTCGAGCCTGGAAACCAACACAGGGTGACGTCATTCTCTGCTCAGGACGCCAAAACCTCACTATATCTTTACAAAGCAAATATTTGTTTACTTCTATATCAAAGGTCCAGTGTTTAGTGGCATCTTGTGGTGTAGTTGCAGATAGCAACTCCCTTGTTTCCTATATTCAAGTGATTATACACTAATAGATCTTCCTAAATGTTACACACTGGACCTTTAATGTTTTAAAATCTATATTTAATTTAAAATCTACACTTGTCGTTTTTACCCAACGCTTCCCATATTTGTCCCAGATTTCTTTCTTTTTGTTTACACTAAGAAACAACAAGGATGCATGGGTAGCCTTTGTCGTCATTTACAGGAAAATGGAAAAACGTACTAGACAGTAACATAGAGTGTACTCAGTTTTTTCTTAAAAAACTGATGAGTGACGCATGAGATGTTGAAGGTTGGCAGAGGCAGGAATTGAGTGATTCTGAAAAAGTGGGAGCATGGAAACAATAAGACAACTGATAATGGACACAGGCTGTTGTGCATCCTGTTAGTAAAGTATTGTAAGAGTGTAGCTTGACATGTTTGGGAAAGTTGTCAGGGTATCTCACCCCTAATGCCACTGAGACAGACACCTATAATTTAATTGGCTGTATAACTAACAGCTGGATCTATTTTGATGATTTATAGAATTTAAATTTCACTAAAAGTCACAAAATCTGTTGTGTTTCAGGAGGTTGGTGCAGGAGATTTTGTCAGTTGAGTCCAGTCTGGACCCGTTGGAGCCAGAACCTCAAGACAGCACTTATTCTCAAATGGACAACAGCAGAGGAGGAAGCTGCTGCTAAAGCACGGCTTTCACACTGCAATTGCAGGGACAAGCAAACACAGCCAGCACCTATTCATTAGTTGTTTGAGGTGCCTGAGCAACTGAGCAAGGCACTTCCACCTCAAGTACTTAGTGCAGCTGTCCAGAAGAAGCACAGAAGAAGCACCAGGAGGCCAGTGGAGACGTCCTAGATGCTGATGTAAGGGGGTGTATTGTTTCCAGTACACTAATAATTTTCCCCAGATAACAAATAGTAAATGATAATGGCTCTCTATCAATCTGTTTTGAGCATCCAGTGACTCTGCCAACAACTTTGTTTATGCTGAGCCAACACATTCTCAGCAGGACATTAAATACCAGCATTTTGTCACACCCCTCAGCGTCTACATGCAGACACAGAAGTTACCCCTTAGTGCCTGTTGGAGACGCAGTGGGTTGTCATGTAACTCCATTGTAACAAGAAGGTCAGTGTGGGGAGGTGGTTGGGGTAGATGGATGGGTCAAACAAACACTTTCACCCAGGAGACCAGGATTTGTGTCCCTTGCAAAACCAAGTTAGTCAAAGTTTTGTTTCATAATGCTAAGAGCGTGATTTGCATCATGTGCAGTAATGGCAACATGCGACTAACCCTAACCCTAACCCTTGCATCATGCAACATATTCATTCTAACCAAAATTATGATGTAACCCTATCTAACCAAGTAGTTTTGTTGCCTAAACTGTGACCGTTCACAACATTCACTACATGTTAAAAAGGTGTCTCATTCAGAAGCAAAAGGTACCCTTGAGCTGTATGAGATACTGAGAGGTGTGACAAAACAGCATTGGTATTTCATGACCTGGGATAAGAAGGTGTTGACTGAGCAGGTCTGTTTGGCTCTAAAAGGACACTAGTATTAAAGTAACACACTCTATCTCACTGTTTTCAGTGTATGATTAGAAAATACTTGATGATACTCATGGGAAAGAGCAACACCTCCAGTTTTACTGGCACAAAAGCCTAAATCAGAGTTTCAACTTTTCTAGGCCTTCAACCCCAGTTTCAGGACTATACTACTATACTTTATGTATGTATGAGTATACGTCAAACCTTTTTATTCTAACCTTTAAGAGTGTCAGAGGGGCTCCACATGGATAAGATTTATGTGTACTGAAAATGTATGTCTTATAAATCTCCCACAACTCTATCTGCAAATCAGCTGCCCCACATCAGGTCCCAACTCGAAGGTTAAGGAAGTAATGGACCTTCCTTTTGGTGTGAGTGGTATTCTGTCAACGATGTACATAATTATTAAACATTTTACAAACTTACTGGAATTTTCATACTGTAAATTTTTAGATATGCAGCAGCAGGAACAGTTTAAAGAAGAATAGTAAAACTGGATGGGTAGCACTTGCAGCGATCTATGGCTGAACAGACAGATAAAAGAGAAGAGTACACAAAGACTTTACAGACTGTTCAACTGTTATAATTTGGGTGATGTAGAGAGGTAGACAGCGAGGACAAGGAGGAGAGAGGGGGATGAAGAGAAACAGAAGGAGCAGAGGGATGGTGTGTGTGTGTGCTTATTTAATGGGAGGCCTCTTGGTGTTAGAACGAGGTGTGGAGCGTGTTCAGTGACGCCGCCAAGCCACCTCCTCCAACAGGCTGAGTCAGACAGACACATGGCATCCCCGTGCTAACAACGAGGGGTATGTGTGTGTGTGCATACGGTGTATGCCAGTAAGGCAAATGGTGTGTAGGTGCTGCTGTGTTGGTGTGTGTTTTTTTGCACATGGATGTGAATGTGCCTCGGAGACGTCAAGAACTTACACATATCCTGTCAACATTCTGGTTTTGGTTTGTCAACCTCAGCCTTTGATAGCATAGATTTGTGAGTAAAATCCCGTTGTTTTTAAGTCCAACATAGTCTTGAATGTTTGCGGTTACAATGATAATCAAAAAGAAAAAATTAAAACTCCATCTTCGTTATTGTCAGAACTACACCCATTAACTAATACAAAGAAATCTCTCTGTTGCAGAGAAAAGCTCCAGTTAATTCCTAATTCAAAGTTTTCTTTTAATGATATCCTCAATGTATCCACCACAGAAATATGGTAGTTTTTTTTAATAATCTAATGATATTATAAGTATATATCAGTTTAAATTATTTTATCTTGTTTATGAGAAGTCTTCTTTTCAGTTTGGTATGACAGATGGTCATACAGCAATAGTCTACATACATGGTATTCATTAAGTTGAATTAAACAATTTACAACAAGTTTGTACAGTTAGGGTTTCCTGATTGTTACTTGGAACTTCAAATAAATTAGATTTAGGATATGAAACATTCAGCATGTGGCTCATTGTCCATGGAGAAAACTAATGGGACTTTTGGAAACCCAAAATAATTCTTCCCAATTCACGACTCTGTAATATAACGTTAAGTGAATTTTAAAAGCAGCCCAGTTTCGTAAAACATTGAGCTGGATTTTCTTTAAACCTTTCTTTATTCTGGTAAGTTTAAATAAGAGCCAACATGCACAAACAAATCTTGAAGCTGTTTGACTCATGCAGACTCACCTGTTCCTCAGTTCACAGAGCCTAAACTAAATCTGCACCTATTTGCATCAATTCACTTATTTCCAATGACTTTGTATGCAGTTGTAATGTCGTGAAAATCCATTTTGTGATCATTTCAAACACATTTTTAGAGACCTAACAGTGTGGTGTTAGAGGCCATGGCGTCACTGAAATGTAAAGAGCCACTTCCTGCTGAAGCATGAATGTAAGTGAAATTTCAACCTGTCTGTTGGAAATCTAAGAGTTTTTGTTTAAAGGTGGTACTGTGACTTGAACTTGATGCTAGAGAACCCAAAGCATGTGATACACACCAGTCGACTGTGGCAGTTTCACACTTTCAACATATTCTCATTCTGCTGGTAAGATAGACTTTCAAAATAAAGCTTGCTTAATTAGGTTTTGGCAATCTTTTTAGATTCGGCAAAATATCGTAAGTTACATTACATTACATTAAGTACATTACTTATGGAACATTTGACTTTTGACATCACACTGGACTCAAACAGCAGCCTCCTGGGTGAAGTCCTGTGTTATCCACCCCATCCACCTTCCTACCTGGACTTTGTTGCTCTTTATACTGCTACGTCTATTATGCGCTTTGGAATGAGACTGGGCTGCAGGGGGTGACCAAGCAACATATGGACAGAAAAGACAGATGGACATAGCCACAACAAGGGCAACCCAGTCACACACACAGTGTTTTTGCACTCCTGTGGGGGATTTTCTGTCTCTCTATGTGTAGGCTTCTATTTTTATTACTGAGTTGGAGGAAGGCAGAAGCTCTTGGCCGTGACTCAATCATCCACAAATGCTACAATCCTGGAGAACCCTCAACAAAATGACCGGATGTTGGACAGATGGACGTTTTGTCAATGTGTCTATTTGTCAGGATGTAATAGTCACTACACAATGAGTAGGTAATCGTGCCCATCATGTTGTTTTTCTCTTCCTCTCATAACATCCCAGCGGTTATGAGAGCATTTCAGCAGGAAATGGAAACACTGGCTGCTGCAGAGAGAACATTGTGGATCTTTTCAATGCTGGAACGTTCTCTCCGTTCATGTGTGACAGTCTCCAAAGTCCAGTGTGAAGTGGCATCTAGTGCTGAGGTTGCAGTTTGCTACCAACTGAATACCCCTCACCTCAACCCCCCTTTCCAAGCTTGTAGGAGAAACTACGGTGGCCGCGAAACTCGCAAAAAATGTTTTGGTTTGTCCATTCTGGGCAACTGTAGAAACATGGTGGTTCAGCATGGTGGAAGAGAATCCGCCCTCTCTGTAGATATAAAAGGCTCATTCTAAGGTTACAACATTTCATACAGTGGTGTTTATTTATTGCTTGCCAAGTTATGTTTGGCCTGTTTGTTACCAAATAATAAAAAATGGGAATTTTATACTTTCCAAATTACATTTTTCAATTAGAAATTTAGATTTTTTTCTGTATCAATTAATATTCGTAATAAGTATTACGAGTGACAGTACCTTGAGGTTTGTAGGATTTGTGGTTCAATGAAGTGAGGAAGCACCATTCCCACTGGCCTGCATCAGTAGCTGTTGGCAAATCCATTTTGATTTTCCCTGTCCTTTTATCTTACAGACTTACTACAGCTCAGTATCACCTGTTACCTTGCAAGACAGCTGGACTCACAAGATCACAAAATAACAAAATCACATGAGAATCCATCTTGCCAGGTTGCTCTTCAAGCTGCGCACTTAAGTCCGAACCACAAGTGGTTCAGAGCAATCAGTGTCCTATGAGGAACTGGATTCCCCAGATGGTACTGTGTAACAAATCATATGGCGCAGTAAGGTTATATCACCGGTACCTGGTCACCTAATCAGAGGACTTAGTCACCTTACAACAACTTGCACCTTACTCCAGATTTTAAACAATCGTTGTCTTGGATCATGGGTGCCAGACTTTGAGATTTAGTCCAATTGGATCTGTGGACACTGTGGATCTTTAAAAAGCAGCGTGAGACTTTATAGGCTTTTGTTCAGTTTGTTTTTTTATGTCACAAGTATGTCTATGTTTTTATATCTTTCCATTTTTATGCACTTTACCATTGTTCTGATTGTGATGTCTGCTCTTGAAAGGTGCTTTTACTTACTGTCTTTGTAAGTAAGGACAAAATGGAAAAAATAGAAAATATGATTTTTGGCAGCTGAAGCTTTCAAAGATATGGCAGTTCTCCCTTGTTACCATTTAGGGCCGCCATTAAGCATCAAGCATTAAGCATTAAGACATTAACTTTCCTGAATAAATAACAGTAAAATACGTCTTTGTGGCCTGATGCTAAGGAACAACCATATGATACCAAAGATAAAAAGCATGTATCATAAAATGAACAACTGAAACACTGTGATCTTTTAATTTTTCTTTTCAATCAGATTAAAATTGATCTTTGTACTTGGGTTTATTAATGTTACTTCACTACATCCCACATTTATTTAGGGCTTCATTTCTTTCTTTCCCAGTAAACATAATGGATGATGACAATGAGGTCTGGCATCAGCACATCTCTATTCCCGGCCTCACTGCTTACCAACCGTGACGCTCGGAAGCAACAGCGTAGGTGGCCTCCCACCAGCTCATGTGGGCTGACTGAGTGCCCTCTTTCATATCAGAGGTGTCTTTTGCGCTAAGCAAAAAAGCCATAGAAGGAACTCTTCTTCCTGTGTCGTGATAATTGACATAGTCCATCAGAACATGTGGCGCTCCCAAATTAGTGTTTATTTCATCCTTTTTTTAGCACAGTTTTCACATGTTGGCTTTTTTCCTCCAGTCTATTATATTGATCAATAGGCTAATTATCACCTGTATGAACAATATGTTTGAATCTGATCCCTTGAGTTCATGTTGTATCTTTAGCTGCATCCAGTGGTGGAAACTAGGATTTAGTCTAGAGCTGTCCTTTATAAAATACAGCACAGTGTAAGATTAATCCCCTTCTGTGCCTGGTTTCAGATATGTAATAGTTGTTTGCAGACATTTCTTCTGCAAAGTTCTCAGATGGTTTGATTTACATAACTGTCTAAGGCCCAAAGAGCTATCCATTATTTCGTAGTAGGCCTACTTCTACTTTTGATACTTTGAATATATTTTGCTGATAGGATACGTAGGATTTTGAATTCATGTTTTGCTTGTAATGTAGAATTTTTTACAGTTTTGTTTTAAGGTAAAGGATCTACCACCACTGGCTGCACTAGCATCATACAGTCATATGGACAGATGTTAACTGAATGAACTATGAACTGATAGGGAAATCAGATGTGACCAAATGAACCAGACGTTCTCCATAAACATCCCGTGATGTTGAGAAAACAAAAGTTGTTGTCTCATTATCTCAAGAAATCCACTTTTTGTTTACTCAAAATAACAAGGTAAATTAACCTGTGACCTCGAGATAAGGAAGGACTTCAAGCAAGTATGCGACTAAGTTTGTCGCTTCAAAGAAAACTCTTAGTTCTTAAGGAGTATTGTAATAAGTGACATTCTATTCTTCTTCTTTTATTTCAGACGTTGTCCAGCTGGATAGCTTTAGTTTTACTAAACCATGACTTATACCACTGCAGGTGGAGGAAAAGGTTCCCCGCAGATGTAAAATACAACACTTCAGCAAAAGAATTTGCTGGTTTTGCAGAATAGCGTCAAACCTCCCCGAGGCCTTGAGACGAGACGTCAGCATCTTGAAGGAGTCGTTCAAGGACCCTTCTGACCCTCATGGAGTAACGCAATAAATCAAACAGTTGCATCGTGGATTACGCTTTACATTTTTTATGACTGAATTGGATAATGACGAAGAAGACACATTATCTGGATCATCCACAGCTGTAGCTATTCGGCTGAAGGTCGCATGACTTAAAGTTTATCTTCCTGCTGAAAGTGAGGCAATGCAGTGACGTAAATCTGAGTTTCCACAAACCAACCATTGTTTTTCATTCCTTTGTGTGTTTTATTCTTCTAAAATACTCATTTTGATTTGATTTCATTTACTTCCTCGCTTATTCAAAACTTTTTCTACAAAATGAGATACAAGTGTTCATTACAACCACTTTTTGTGGGTGAATAATAAAATTGTTGTGATTAAGAAAAGGTCTGATGATTATTATATGACAATCTGTCCAATGATGCTGGAAGTCACAGCAAATGTAGAAAGCCTCATTTTGGGGATTGTTCATCTCGGAATTCTTCCACCAACCAAGATCCTCGGCCATCTGCTGATAGCGAGCCACAGAGAGTAGGAGGCAGTCAGACAGACAACAAGTGGAGACAGGAAGAAGAAAAGGACAAAGAGACACAAAAAAACACCCTGTCCAGGTCAAGTGGCTCTGTTGCTGACCCATGCAAACATAAATAACCAGGTTATAATACCTTATAATAACCTGGATGCTTTCCAACTAACAGAAACGTGGTCAGAATTCCAACTGATAGTAACAAAGCTTAATTTCTTTGCTTTTAATTGTGATATAAAGATGAGGACACCAACCAACACCAATATACTGTTGCTCAGACTATGCCAGATATTATATAACCATCTTTACACATTGTGCAATAGAATGTACATAAGTGTACACCTCTGGGGATACTTCTGCAGATGCCAGGGGGTACATGGAGAGCTTGTGCACTAGCTAGACTAATATTTTAAATAAACAGAAATTATTATTTTAATTTTTAAAATATTGAAACAGAACAGAGTATGAAAATTAGCAGAGTGAGCAGAACAGTTGACTTTGTGCTTCCTGAACGTAGAATAGGTAGGTAATAGGTAGTAAGGTGCATAGACAATGGAGCACGTGGGAGACAGACTGGAGAAAAGAAACAAATATAGTGAACAGAGAATAGTAACAGAGAAAGACCAAAGCGACAGCAGAGAGACAGAAGGAGTGACGTAATGAACAAGTGAAAGCAAATAAACGAGCGATGCCAAGAGCAAATGATGGTGGTGTTATCATCCCGTTTCTTGGGCTTATAGATCTTATACTTATCTAACCATCAATATGTCACAAATGTGTCGTGATTTCAACACTCATATAATCTATATAAAAAATTTGTTTTTATCTATCTATCTATCTGTACAAGGTCTACAGTGTAAGTATGATAACACCAAAGTTAAGAAAATAAAGACAACAAATGATTTGCACATTACTACAGTAAACTATCCTACACTGCATACTCTATACATCATTATACAACATATATACTGCATAGAACTATATCTATATAACTATATCATAACAAAAAAAAACTGGTATAACGAAATAATGAATAAAATATAATTTTGTAATTGTTGACAAAGGTTCTGCAATACAGTACAGAAAGACCCTACATACTTATGTAAATGAAAGTGCTGTTTTTAATTCACCAGTATGGGTTGTATTGTGTGGAGGAATACAGCAACTGCTGAAAAAGTCAATTTAATCTATTTTAAATTAAAAAGAAAAGTGAAAGGGACTGAATACTTTACTATAGCCACTGTTTTTTTAATAATGAAATCAAATGGCAAAGAATATACAGAATATAAAGAAAAATAAAACATCCCAAAGAGCAAGTTATCTAGGTTATCAATCAATATAAACTTGTGTCTCCATTTTACACATTAAACTACAGTATATTTGCAGTTAGACTCAATGTAAATGAAACGAGAACGGCTGCATTGTTCAGAGAAGAGGCGCTTTTGGATGAAATGATGTCTGCCTGACTCACAGAAGCCAGGGCCACTTTCTGCCTTATACATGGACTTCCGTATTTCCATGCCTCTCAAACGTGACCCGGCATCGTACAAGCGATGTAGAACCGACCAATGGGAACGCTGGGTTTTAAGCACGTCGGAGTTCACGTTTGAGAGAGCTGGTGGTGCATTCAGGGCTGAGGGAAAGAAGAAACATCCGACTTTTTTTAACGTTATATTACGATTCATGTAGGCTATCAGGCGGAGAATACGAACAATACAGCTTTTGTTTTAGCTTTACAACACCCTCGGATTATGTAATCACCGTTTGTATACAATAATTCGCGCCAAAGTACAAAAAATGCTGTATTTCTTTACATAAAACGAAAGGGTTCAAAGTGAATGAAGGTCTTTCATTATATATCATAGTCAATATCCCTAAAATAACTATGACACGTAGTTGAGCTGTTGTCTTTGCGGTGATTATCCACTTATAACGCCAATAACTGCTCTGGCATGACAACGCTTTCAACAAGTGGGCTCTCGGTTGTTGTTTTAACCGCTGCGCCATGAACGCAGCATGAGAGTGGAATAAGACGCCGGGGCATGCGCAGTAAGCCAAACTCTTATGAAACCAACTAGTGCAGCTGCAGAAAACAGGTACAGTGGGACGAGAGGCATTCACAGGCTACAGGCACCAACCCGGCTTACAGCACCTCTCCGCACATCAGAACCAAGGGAAGAGATGCTTCTATCTTTGGGCTTGACATAAATATCACCTCCGGGGAGCCAGCGCAAGGTAAGACGGGTCTTTTTGGCAGCTTTGGGGGTTTAGTTTTAAGAGAAAACCGGCTATACATTCATAAACAGCGCCACCACTTACATAAGCATTGCTCTGGTGACCCCGTTTTGGTCTTCAGAGATGTTGGTTTCCTTGCCAGAGACTTGAACTTTACCTCAATTATATTTATCTAAGACTCATATATTTTACACTGGCATGCCCAGCAGCTCTTTATTAGCACCGGTATTTAATTTCTGGGTGAAGTTTACATAAGGTAGATACAATACCAGCCCCCCATTCAGAATAGACGGTGTGACCTAATTTCCATTTGCAGAAGTCATAAGAGCCATCACTGGGACTTGACACTTGAACTTGAACTGCGTTTTCAAAGAACATCACCTGCTCTAAAATATAACTCTGATTAAATGTGAAGTGTGCCAGTGAATTAGTGACATTAAGATCCGAAGCATTAGATGGGTTTTGTGTGAGGATGCTTGTGTTTACAGTGGAGTCGACCTGTGTAATTCTCATTTAATACAGTGTTTCCTGAAGGTCACATTGAGTGAGCTTTCAGAATATTCCCTTAGGATAGATTTATTTTGCTAAATGTTAAGTATGAATCTAATTCATTGTGAAGGGACAATACTTTTTTTCCACTGTCCTAATTACAATGTAAAACTTGTGAGGCTCTCTCCAGTTTATCAGAACCCTCCATCTTTACTCAGCTGGTGTCCCATCGACCCCTTTCCCACTTTTTCCATCCCACCTCAAACCATTTGTGTTAGTCTTTACGGGGGAATTGTATATTGGAGTTGTTTCATTGAGAATGACCGATAATAATGAAAGTAATGAATATTCTCAGCGCTGATGACAAATGTTTCTTTTTACGCCACAGAGGCTCCCCTAAAAATCTGCTCGCCGGCTGTTGGGTTTGTGCTACTGTGCCAGAGAAACCGACGCACATTTTAGGTGTCACACTGTACAAATCAGCAATGTGGCAGAGAATGTGTTGAATTCTGTTTCTATTTGTGACAAATAATGATGTTCTGCTATGAGCCGGGCTCATTTAAAGGTAAATGCAACGTGTAATGGCACATGCCCTGGAGCCATACCTGCTCAGGGAAGTCATTTCTCTGTGCTGCTGATGATGCATCTTTTTTTGAAACCACTGATTTAAAATGAATGTCACTCTAGCTTCACAGAGCCCAGTATGGCTTAAACTTTTCTTGGGAAAGACCCTGATTGTCCTGGATGGGTCCTAGCTGGTGGTCTGGTCCGGTCATATCTTATTGATTAAGTAATGTTTGTAACTCTGATCAAGTAAGAATGTATTGGCAGACGGTGCACATCAAGTTAGGACGTTTATAAGTCGCTTAGAAGTTTGTAATTTCCTTCATTGAGGATGGCAGTTGTGTTTGGATTGAGGCCAGTTATATTGTCTTCTAAGGCCTCAAGGGTTGGGCTTATAGGGGTTTAAAAAACGCCTTCATACCATGATAATTAATTAAACTCATTCTGACCACAGGTAAAACATCATGTTTGAAATTGTTCTGGAGGTCCCAAAGTTTCCAAAGAGGCTACATTTCAGGAAATGTGCGTTTGATAATGCATATCTGTGATATTTCCATTTGATGGAGTGGAGGAAAACGAAAAAAAGATGGGTTTTGGGTTTGATTATTTCACTCATTGTATAAATAAATTGTATCAATAACAATCTGGAACGAGCTGATGAAGATGAAGATTGTCCCCATGTTCTTCAGTTGGTCAGATCTTCTCACTCATTTATAGGAATTCCTTCCTATAAACTACATTTTAGTGAGTGAAAGATGTATTCAATGGAGCTCAGGTAATCCTAGTTGAGTGTAAGCTTTGCACAACATGATAATACATTGTGATTGGGTGTTAAATCTTTTTGGAAGTCTTTGTGGATGTGGGAGAAAAAAACCTTGTTGGTTATATGAAAAATTCTAGTTAGATATGGACCCAAAGTTCGGCCCAGAATTGTCCATCTCCCGGATAGTTTGAGCCTGATAATTAATTCTTACCTTTGGGAACATCAGTTAATCTTAACTCTGCTTGAATATACATGTACTGCTAAGATACAGCGTGATGCTGCCGTCCATTTCTGGTCCCTTGTGTTTATTTTATTTAAAGAAACTATTTGTGCTTTGATCCATTTCATCAGCCTTCAAACAGTAGGATTTCTTTAGCAGAATTTTTGTTTCTGTTTTTATGGCACAATGTCAGAGCTCTTGGACTACCTAAGGGCACCCTGACTGAATATCCATGTATTTATACTCAATGTTTTAAAGATGGGGGAAGAAAGGAAGAAAGTTTTGAGTTGTGGCATATTGCCAGCAACAAACTGTCTTATTCTAACCCAAGGAAGATCAGTTCTGATTGTAACAGCTTGGAAACTTTAACCACCAGCAGAGATGGCTTGTAAGCGAGTGATTGGTTATGAATGAATTTCAGCTTCACAGCAAATCTCAGAAATCGTCCACTATATTTCACTCTATTTCTGTTTTATTGCAGACAGATGAATGAAAAAAAGGGATTTCTTTGAGGCTCCTTGAACATTATTTTCTTTTGAATCTCTGAATGAAGCGCGCTGGCCAACAAGGTCTCAGTTAAATTCAGAAGCAACCAATCAGTCAGTCAAGAGATTCAGTAAATCTTATGAATTAACCTGCAGGAAAGCCAAAAGGCAGCTAGCCACACAGCTAATTATCCCATCAAATTAGTCAGCGCCTGGGGACAGTCAGGGACATTCTGTTTTTCTTCCACTGCCATCAGCTGCTGTGCTTACCAGCCAGCTATTTGTTGACAGGAGTCACACCTCGCCACGTCATCCTTGCATAGACAAACTAAACTAAATGACTTTTACTATAAAAAAACCACCAAGAATGGTCACAGCAGCATAAAAGTAACCAAAAGATATACAGAGGGGTTTGAAGTGAGCACGTGTTAGGCACCAAATGGCAGTAAGAGTTGTTCTGTGTATGGCGGGTCAATCCCTTAGTGTCACCTGTCACGCTGGCTGCTATTGAGACCTTAATGTTTTAATGCCTCGGTTTTTACCTGTGGTCAGGCTTTGTCCCTACTTAACTGCTGCCCAGTTTATCCTCCCTCTGACCATGCACCAATCAAATCAGTAGTCCTGTGGCTTTGTATCACACAGGCTTTAGATAGACTGCATGTTCTATACATAAATAGCTAATGTACAGGGACACATTCTAAAGAAAACTGTCATCTGATCCAGTTATAGCTAACGGAAAAACCTTGGTGGGTAAATACTGTATCAGTTTTTGAAGACACATATTTCCTCTCCTAGATATCTGTTTTTAATTCACTTTTTGATAAATTTGATTACTTTAAGAACTTATTCCTCACATAACCACCTGGCTCAACCAGGTGAGAGTAGACTCATAATTGACTCAAAACCATTAATTGACTATCAAAATAGTTGGAGATTAATTTAAGAGTCGACAACTAATCGATAACAGCTCTAGAATATAACTAATACGTATTTGACTTAACAATAATATAGAGAAAGAACAAGCAGAAGCAAGAATTGTATAATATAATATCATAATTACAAAGTTTTATTTTACTTTTGTTCTACTTCAACAAGCGCCAAATGCCTAAAAATCTCTCTGCTGACGACAGAAAGCATAGGAACTCTTTGGCCACAGCGATGTGATGGTGTTCCTGTTCAGATTGTTCTATTCTCGGCACGTCCCACTCATTTGGCAACTGCTACAACTCAGTTATTGCTCCTGCTGGGAGACATTCATTTTTACAAGTACAAAAAAAAAGAAAAAGAAAAAAGGAGTTTTTCTGTTGTATCCACCATTCAGTCGTTTTCAGCTCTTCATTGTCTGTTCTGACCAATTCCTCTTCTTCATCACTTTCTCCTTTCAGAATAAGATGGCACCAAACTCCATCCACTGGTTCCGTAAGGGCCTCCGACTCCATGACAACCCAGCGTTACGGGAAGCGATCAGAGGGGCAGGCACAGTGCGCTGTGTTTACTTCCTGGACCCATGGTTCGCAGGCTCCTCCAGTGTCGGGGTCAACAGGTGGAGGTAGGAGGATTATTTTTATTTATTATATTATAGTAGTGGTATACAGAGACTACAACTGCTGGCTGTGTAACATACCTGTAGTAGAATCGTATGCTGACATTTTATACTAAAATTCGTGTTTCCCAATCTGTGGGTCACAAGGTAAACGTCAGGGGTCGTGAGACGATCAAGAGGATAGAAGGGCAGAAAAAACATATTTGTGCTAGAAAAAATTCTCCTTTTTTTTAAACATTCCTCTAATCTTTGCTTTACTTCTTGTTAATGAATTGACTTAAACAAAGAAATAAACTTTTGTCTTTTGTTGAACTCATCAGACGTTCATTAGACATAAGCAATCAATAACAAGTAAACATCCCTTTGTTTTTAGGGTCACCAGCCAAAAAGGTTGGGAACTACTGGTTTTATCAATGAATCCAAGTATTTTACAATTTGGAAAAAATAGTTAGTAAGCTTATTTTACTTGCATTAAATGTCAAATTGAAAAATGTGATGTGTGTAATCTTGTTTACATTTCTTTTTTTAGATTTCTTATTAATGTTGTGATATTGATTTCAGTCATATCACCCAGCCCTGTAATTGTGAACCATCAATACTTACATGGATGCTATATTATGACAAAATAATAGCAACAATAGAAGCTGTAATCCATATTTTTAGAATAATGATAATAATGTATCAAATGATAATGAGGAAACAGCGCAACGTTATGAAGGGGACACTCATAATTATGACCCTATAGAGAATTGTCAGACGAAATCTGCTGCTCCACTCAGTTTCATGAGGCTTTAGAATGAGTTTTCAGCTCATTGTTTAGCTGTCCGACCCACAACTTTAGTAGTACAACTATAGTTTTATAAAGGCGAATTGAAGCTATTTCATTCATTTTTGTACAATAATGATGACAGTCAGTCACAGAAGAACCGTTGGAAGCTGTGACTCATCCATAATGAGGAGCTCACTGGTTGAGAGGAGAAAACGGGGGGAAATAGGAGCCACAGAGCTGCAGTGCTTCAACACACAACATGATGTCAGCATTTCCCCGCTTTTGAAGCACCATTCGCTGGCTTGAAGGCTTTCAGATTTCAAATGGTCATGGTGGTAGAGACTCTTTTTAAATGCTGTCCAGTCTTTTTACATGAGGGAGAATTTGGAAAGTGAAAATCCATTTGAAAATCCATTTGTTAAAACTTCTTTTTAGCCATCTGTTGTGGTTTTAAGTATCACAGGCAACAAAAGATTGTTTTAAAAAAAGACTCCCTAATTAAAGTGGATTTAACAGACAATATAAATAGGGGTTTACAGCTTTGACCTGGATGCACCTGCTCAGCCACAGGGTGCTCTTTTGTTTTAGTCTCCGCTCACATACAATAATCCCCGTTATAGAGGTCAGCCGGCAGGGCTCGGCGACTGGATGAATAGGTTACAGCGGGAGTCCACCTTCTCTAAACGAGCAGGCTCTAGAGGGAGTCTTGGAAGTAGGTTATTAGAAAAGGTGTACAACCTGCACTGCTAAATGGTGTGTAAATAGGCTGTGTGAGTGGGTGACTGTGGGGGGGGTGTCTTAAGCTCAGCATTTAGAGAACGCGTGTGAGTTCACGTGAGCGCTGGGTCTGTTTGTAAACCGCCATATCTGCTCTGCAGGGGAGTGTCAATATCACTCCAGCGTTCATTGCTCGCTGGCCCGTTTTCACTCTGAAGTGCTATTCGTAGGCTCCGCACAGGAATAGTCAATATTGAGGTCAGTGACCCAGTGATATTCATCTGATTTGTGATACTAAAAATGTTAACAGATCGCACACTGGCGGCGGCAGCGTCCAGGCAGGAAACATACTTCAGTGACGCACATGCCTGTTTGCAGCTAAAAGGTTATATAACATGACTTGTAGCTAATTGCAAATGCACTCATTTGTTTTTGTCAGCCTGTCTTCATGAGGCTAATAGTATTCACTGATAGCATGGAAGCTTTGGAAATGCTTTATTTTATAGGTCCATATTTCCTTAGAATTTCCTGGGAAGATTCCTGGAAAGATCTATGTCATTTTGGATCAATTATAGGTGCAGTTGGTACACTTACTATTAATTAATTGCACAGCAAAAAAAGAAAGCAGTTAGTAAAAAATAATAATAATTTACTTGGGTTTAAAATGATCCATCTCACTTTTATCCAGTGATTTCAAGAAAATTCCTTTTTTCCACACAGAAAAAAACCATATTTGTAAAGCTGCAGTATCACTAGGACTGTCTCAAAAACTGCAATAATGAAATACCGATAAGATAATTATCAGGACAGGTAAATTAGAAATGTATATTATTATAAATTATCAGGATAATCGTTTGATATTAATAATCATTTATTTGGAATTCATATTATTATTCTTAAAACGATTCATAGACTTGTATGAAGTTTCGTTATGACTTTTTCTAGAAAAAATAAATGAAGATTTAAAGAGTCATCACTGTGTTAACAACTGTGACCTCAGTTAGATTTGGTTAGAACAGAGCTATGGAATATTAAATCATCCATCTTTGCTCACTACAGCTTATCCTTTTCTTACCCACAGGTGTGTAAGAACTACAGGTTATGAACTCCTTTTCAAAATACAAAAATGATCGGTTATCTTATCGGTATCCATCATGAGAAGCAGGTAATTATCGGTAATCGTATCGGCTGGAAAAAACCAAACAATTCATACATCCTTATCATCACGTCTAGCACGGCTAGGCTGAAGAGACTTGACACAGCTATAAAACGCAGTATATATACAGGACAAAGTCATGTAGCCTCCACCTCGCTCACTCCCGACTGGAAACACCCGCAGTCTCTTCTTAGAAAACACAGACTGGTCCACTAACGCTAAACATCCCAATTCCCAACAGCTTCGTTTCAAGGAGTCACCATGGTAACTGGCAACTTTCAGCTGAATATGAAACCAACTGGCGACATTATTCTGCTGATAGTTGGCAGTTAACAGAGTGCTGGTGATTAGTACAGGTACAGAGGTGAAACATCATCCGGCCGTACCTCTTACAAAGTCATTTGCAAAAACAAAACGGTGGTCGTACCACGCTGTTGAGCCACCCCAAATCACCACACGAGAAATTCCTTAACTGCTACAGATATTACATCAAATGGAAACATGGTGACCAAAGGGTGGAGGAGGATAAACTTCCTCAAGGCAGAGTGAGGTGATTCAGTAGCTCTGAACCAACATGATTTATATTCATTGTGCTCTGAAAGAAAGCATTAAGTTCAGGAAATATGTGTTTATGTTGGTTAACCCTCTTCTGAGTATTTCTCAACTTTGAAGAAAAGCAGGCATCTTTTTCTTTCACATTTTCAATTGAAGTGGGGAGAAAATTGCAGAATCTGCCCCACTTATCTGGGCTATGGCAGTGACGTACAACAAACACTGCTGTCAGACTCAAGGCTACAAGGCTTTTATCTGCAGAAGCTAAAAACCTGCTGATGCACTGAGGTAAAATTAAGACTGATCTAACAGAATTGAGGTCACTGGTCTCTGCACTCACAGACATGTTATATTTCCATGTCACTGTGTTATGCACACTGTGAAAGAATTGCATTTTAAAGTGATTTAGAAAGTGGGGCACCCTGGATGAGCATGCCCCCCTCCCCTTACTTTCAGGTCCCTCTCTAACTGCTCTGTCAGAATAAAGACAATGAATATCTCTTGGATTCTTAAGAAACTCATTCAACGTGTCCCATATATAGACAACAGGTGAGGTAGACCAAACAGATGTCTGCAGCACTAATAGCCATCACATGCTCAGGCAGTGACACTAAAACCTGTCCAGCTGCCCTGCCACCTGCAGGTCTGTGTATGGCAGGCCTTCATCCAATTAGAACTGTTATATTTACCTTAAACTGGGGCTAAACATATCTGGTAGGTCTGCTGTGGCTGGATTGGCATAAGATGCATCCCAACTTTATGAATGGGGAAACCTGCACCTGCATCCATTTGTGCCAACCACTGTATATTTGATCCAGTTCATAAATAAATAGTCTACGTCCATGCAGAATAGAGTCTGAGGAGTTTATCTATCATGTTACTTTTCTCTAGAAAGATATTCAGACAAAAAAAAAACCCATTTAAAAAGGTATTCCCTCAGTCTAGTTCTAGTTTCCACCTCATGTCTATAAAGGTTATACAAATTAGAGAAGCATCTTCATTAAGGTGTCATTATTGCATTCATTGTCCAGTGTTACTTGTAGCATAATGTTTCAATAGCACCACTTCCACTATATGGTTGCCTTATTTTCTACGGCTTTGTGTGCCCGACAGCTAGTGTGAGTGTTCAGTAAATGTAAACAACGTAACCATTATACTGACTGTATGAGCCTAACTGCTTCATCACTGAGCAAGGCACCTAACCCCTAACTGCTCCCGGAGCGCTGTTACATGGCAGCTCATCACTCCACCATATAAGCCCTGCATGTGTGTGTGTAAAACAAAGAGTGAAAAGAGAATTTCCCTATTAAGGATTAATAAAGTATTGTGTTTGAAAACAATGTACTGAAAGAGCTCTCTAAAATGTAGGTTCTGCTTACGTGAAAAGTAACTTCTAAGCTTTTATAACCAAAGTTTTCTCACTGAAGTCGGAAAAATTCGGTGTTGTTCTTTATCAGTTAAATTTCTTGTGTTGCCATTTTTTTCTATAGATTCGGGCCATGTTGTCAGCCGGTTTACTGATAAATAAAAATGTTTTACCTCAGAAACTCCAGTTAAATATGCATTTTAACAACAGAAGTCCAGAGTGAGCAAACAGCAGATTAAGAAACTCTCCAACCACAGTGGTAGATAACATAGGAGTGCTGAGTAAAGAGATTGAGCTCTGGAAGCAAAAACCAATAAAAGTGAGGCTAATCAAATTTTTTTCAGTCTAGGGGAAAATGTGAGAATTGTCTGTGCAACAGATGTAGGTTAGTGTGCCACTGCACGAAACTTGTGAGAGGTTATGTGATCGTGACCTACTTGTGGGAA